CCATTGTGGTTTTAACACACAAAGTTTTATTTGCTAACATTTTTTATTTTAGTTTCAGGAAACTGATCCAAAACAATTCATGAAGAACAAACATTCAAGTTTCAGCACAACAAGAAGTTCTAACTAACCTGTTTTATGAGCTAAAACCTATCTGGAAACCTTTAGTAGAGGAGTTTACCAAATGTCACTGAGAGGAGACCTCAGGGCAACAACAAGAAGAAATGAGATCTGACTTTTGTTCAAGGAACTGCATCAGTTGTGCAAAAGTAAAGATAACGAGTTACCATGTCTTCATGTTGGTGTTGCCATCAGAGTTCCTCTGGATTAACTTCAGGAGGAAGCAGGGGAGGGGAGATATGGAGACCTCTGCTGAAGCGGCTGTCCACTGAACTGGTTCTGGATGAGCAGATGATGGATGGATGGATGGATGGATGGATGGATGGATGGATGGAAAGTCCAGAGCTTGTCTCTCAGAGTGTTTTCTGAGGACAGGCATTCTGCTCTAGACTTGCTGAACCTCATTGCTGAACCTCAGAGATCACTTTGGACCGAGACTACAAAACCAGACCAGGTTCCTGAGAGGAAGTCAAAGGTCTATAAGCACCATTGGCCCATGTGACTAAGTTTAATATCAGCTGCAGACCCAGAGGTTTCTCTGTAGGAGCACCGGAGACCTGGATCAGGTTGAGACAGTCATGTAGAGGAAAGACAGGAGTCGTTTAGGGCCAGTGGAGACGCAGATGCTCCAACTGGTCCTGGACCATCCGTCACTGTGCACGCTCAGAGATGACAAAAGTTCTAGAAGAGTTAAGCTTGCTTACTCGCTTTGTTGTTTTGACTCAACCCTTGACCCCACACATGTGAGAGCTGATTCATTTAAAACTGCTAATATGGGTCAGACAGATAATCAAAGCTTAACAAACTAATCAAGTATTAACAAAATCATCAATCTGTCAGCTGATCAGAGTCCAGTAACTCCTGGATCAGGGGTTAAAACCATAACTAGCAAAATCGCATACAACAGGGTTTCTGTTGGTAGAATGGGAATTCTCAGAAATCCGATCGTAACTTTGTTGTAAACTATTTATTACATGATTAAATTATCAATGCACATTTCTTCTATATTGATATGTTTATAGTGTGAGGGGGGGGCTATCTCCAGCAGTCGATGGGCAATCAGGTGGGGCACACCCTGGACAGAGAGCCAGTCTATCGCAGGGCAGTACAGAGACACACAGGACAAACAGTCATGCACACACACAGACTTAATAATTTTCTCTTCATCAATAACTTAATTTGGTTTCCTTCCTCTCCCTGGGCTGCCACCTTACCGTGGTGGAGGGGTTTGAGTATCTCAATGATCCTAGGGCTAAGTTGTCTGAGGCTTTCTGCCTCTGGTAGGGTCACCCATGGCAAACAGGACCTAGGTGAGGGATCAGACAAAGAGGAGCCCAAAGACCTCTTATGATGAATTATATAAATGGAAATCGTGTTCCCTCGCCCGGACGTGGGTCACAGGGGCCCCCCTCTGGAGCCAGGCCTGGAGGCGGGGCACGTTGGCGAGCGCCTGGTGGCTGGGCTTTTACCCATGGAGCCGGGCCGGGCACAGCCCAAAGAGGTAACGTGGATCCCCCTTTCCATGGGCTCACCACTCGTGGGAGGGGCAAAAGGGGTCGGGTGCAGTGTGTGACGGGTGGTAGTCAAGGGCGGGGGCCTTGGCGGTCTGATCCTCGGCTACAGAAGCTGGCTCTTGGCACATGGAATGTCACCTCTCTGGTGGGGAAGGAGCCTGAGTTGGTGTGTGAGGTTGAAAGGTTCCGACTAGATATAGTCGGATTCACCTCAACGCATGGCTCTGGAACCAGTTTCCTTGAGCGGGGTTGGACTTTCTACCACTCTGGAGTTGCTCCCACTGAGAGGCGCTGAGCAGGGGTGGGCATACTAGTTTACCCCCATCTTGGTGCCTGTACGTTGGGGTTTACCCCAGTGAATGAGAGGGTAGCCTCCCTCCGCCTACGTGTGGGGGGAAGGGTTCTGACTGTGGTCTGTGCTTATGCACCAAACTACAGTTCAGACTACCCACCCTTTTTGGAGACCTTGGAAGGGGTGCTGGAAAGCGCTCTTCCGGTGACTCCCTCGTTCTTCTGGGGGACTTTAACGTTCACGTGGGCAACGACAGTAAGAGGTGTGGTTGGGAGGAAAGGCCCGCCTAATCTGAATTTGAGTGGTGTTTTGTTATTGGACTTCTGCGCCCGTCATGGATTGTCCATAATGAACACCATGTTCAGACATAAAGGTGTCCATATGTGCTCTTGGCACCAGGATACCTTAGGCCACAGCTCGATGATCGACTTTGTTGTTTCATCTGACCTGCAGCCGCATGTCTTGGACACTAGGGTGAAAAGAGGGGCGGAGCTGTCAACTGACCACTACCTGGTGGTGAGTTGGTTCAGATGGTGGGGGAGGATGCCGGTCAGACCAGGCAGGCCCAAACGTATGG